GTGATGGCGGCCCGGCTGGTATTATGTAGGGTTCCGTTAGAAGAGGCCGCGTCGAAATCAAACTTGAACTTGTCCCGGATCGCCTTGTGCGTGAGGTCCCAAAAGAAGTGCCCGCAGAGCTCCTGGTCAACGTTGTTGATGGATATGGTCATGCTGATAGTGGATCGATCTCTGGACTGTGATGATATGCCCGGAATGTCTTTGTCTTTCTGTAGATATTCCTTGACACCATCTTGACCATAGACATAGCCGTCCTCCAGCTTTAGGACGGTGGAGTACTTATTCTTGATGATGAATTGCAGAGACGCGAGGGATTCCGTGCCAGAGTAAAGGAACTTTCATGCTGTTAGTTGACACTGCACAGTCAGCTTAAGGCAGAAGAGCTCACCATAGCAGCTTCGAGCTGGTCTAACGTCATGGGTCCGTTGCAAAATAGAACCCACTTCAACAGCTCGTTCAGCTCGCTAATCTCGTCCGCTGTCAACGACCGCTGCAGGTTCTTGATGGCAGTCTCGTGGCTGCTCACTGGCTGGTCTAGCATGCGGTCCAGCTCCCGGATCGAAGTGCGTGTGCTCAGCAGGCGAATCACATCATTGAGTCCGAATTGTAGGCGGGAATAGCTTCCGCTAACGTTCTGCGGCAGCTTCTCGACAATCTTGTCCCACGCCCTCTGTTGGTCCGAGTTAAATTCCACGTGCTCCAACATGCCTCGGTTGGTGAGTGCCTCATTGATAACGATACGCATGTCCGACCCGTTGTGTTCCCCTATCTGGATTCTTAGTGCGCTGTTGGTCTTGGCACCTCCCGGCTTGCTGGTGAACTGGTCGTCTGTCCCGCTCACCAGCACGCGCACCCGCCCAGCTGATTCTTCGGCTAGCTTAGGGCCGAAGACGAACATGAGCAGTATCTCGGTCTGCTTGTTGGGTAGGTTCTCGATCCCGTCGAATACGAGGTAGTACGTGGCACCTGACCCGGGCGTCCCAATTTTCAGCTCTCTCCATAGTGTATCTAGAGTCTCGAGACTCGCGGCACGGCGAAATATGCCAGGCCCAGCATCGCACGCTTTGCCGAGCGGCGTTCGAACGGTGGGATCGACGCGCGCGAGCTGAAACGCCATATACTTAAGGGCTGAGAGCACGGGGGTTTTGTCTTCGTCAGACTTTTTTGTGCTAGCGGGGAAGAAGTAATGTGCCACATACGTACGCCCCTTTTGTTCCTCGAGGCGCTTTGTGATGAGAGCGCTGGCCGAGGTCTTACCCGAGGACGCGGGCCCTGTCAAGATGAGAACGTGCGAGGTCTCCTTGCCCTTAATGGGTGCTGTCCATGCGGTGTAAGCATCGTGATTCCAGATCCAGGATCCCGTGTGATTGAGGCACTTGTCGTAGATACTGGTGCACGTCTGTGTGGTATTGGTGTCGAGTCGTACTGTTGCCCACACGCCGAGTGCGTCGCGAATCTTGATGAGTGTCTTGCTTCGGTCGTCGGCGTCCTTGAAGTATTGCACGTCCTTCTGCGTCTCTTGTACCAGCCGATGCATCACCTCAATGTTTTTTTCAAATATGACGGATTTCTCAAGGAGTATCGCAACGTTGTGCTGTGTCTCGTACACCACCGCGAGCGTAACGGTTCCTTCAACATCGCGCTGCTGCTGCAGTACCCGCTTAAACTCAGCCATCTCGTCGCCCAGGCCTGAGTCATGGTCGAAGATTGGCTTGATCTGCCGCAGGAGGCGGTCCCGCTTGCGGCCCTGGCGGTATTTGACGACATGAGCGCAGAGCTTGACGAAACTGATTATGACGAGGTGGATCTTCTGGATGAGTATGGAGTCAACATTTTTCGCCGACTTGTAGATTTCGAATTGGGAAAGTGCCGAAGACACCTCATTAAAGACTTGGTCGATGGCGTCGTTGTAACCTTTGATGGCCTGGGGGATGTCAAATACGATACAGAGGGCGCAGCTGGTGATATTAGCCGCCGATGCAGGAATAGGGATCTAGAAGCGTCAGCGGCCGTCTAGACTAGCGTGTGCAATCCAACATACAATCGAAGAAGCTTGGAAAGCAGTGCCAATAAGCATTTTCAGCCACTTGAGCGACTCGAGTCCGACGCTCTTCGCCTTGTCCCACTTGTTCTCCTGCTCTCCGTCGATGCCATATGATGCTTTGCTGACGCCTTCAATCATCCTCTGAACATCGTCAAACCCCTTCACGTCGCCTCTCTGCAGCGACTCGCCGCATATGTCCTCAAATGCCTTGGCCGCCGCAGCCCACATCTCCTTCATCGGCGTTCCCTTCCCGGATGGCGTCTTTTCCGCCAGTTGTTGGCCGTTCATCGCGTACCGGACCTTTTAGAAATACGATTACCAAGAATCAGGAAGGAAATAGTTTCTTACATTTTCAGCCCGGCCGTGGTATAAGAGCACGCTTATGCTGCATAAGGCTAGGCATGGGGGTTGCATCGCAGCTGACAGGCGGGGAAATGCCCGGCGTGGATTGGCCCCCTATGCATTATGGCTTTCCTTACATATTGGGAGATCCAACCAATGAGATAGAATAGGGAAATATCCCGACGAAAAAAATGACACCACGATGTGTCTATATAGTCGCTCCTTGATCTCGGTGAGCTTTAGAGCCTGCATGAGGAGGTTATTGCTCGACGTCATCATCCTTCGACTCACCAAAACGAAACGGATGTTAATGACTGTGTACTACGAAATAAACCTACTACGTATGTTTAACGGAGTTCATAGCGTTGAGCGATCATGTTATTTATCCTAGATGTGACAACAGACATTGGTTTAATAGAACAAACTCATCTAATATTCCCCGACCCGATTGCCGTAACGCAAAACCCACGTGTCAATAACCACTAGTCCTCCCCAATCGATCTCATCCGACAGCAGCTTCACCGAATCTCGCAATGACGATGAATGCTATCAATCTAGCCAGTATGCTCGGAGAAAACGATTGCGCACGTCAACTCCGAGGCTAATCCTCAAGCACACCCCTTACGCTCACCTGGCGGTAAGCACCCGGAGCTGAATAGTTTGGGTACCGGCGGGCATCGCTGCGGACTTCCTCCACGGGCGCTATCTCGAACGAGCTCCCACGACGGCTAAGTGCTGATTCCCGGGTGCTATACTGGCTTCTACCGTCGTCGATATCAATATCACCAGGTCTATCACCGGCTCCGACATTTGCTTCCCGCGAGAAATGCTTGCGCGTGTCGTTTCTTGCCATATCCATTTGGGACAGTCGGCTGCTTGCTCGTTGAGCGAACGAAGAGAATGACGTGGATACCTCGGAGGATGGTCTGCCTATGGTCGAAACTGTGCTTACGCGGTACTCGGAGCGATTGGAACTTGTTTCGCCCGACCGTCGGTATGGATCTTGATGGGACGCTGGCGGGAGGTGTTCTTGACCTGGGTCATAGGGAGATGGGGCCTGACTGCGTCGAGCCCTGGCGTTACTTAACTCGACCTCCTGGAAACTAGAATCTAGTTCACTAGCCTTCGGGTCTGCGCATTGCGATGCCTGGGAATAATAGTCCACATTGCCCTCGATATCTGCACCTGGCTGAACGTATCCTGTACGAGGTGAACGGAGTGGGTGGTGCTTGAAATAGTATATACGAATATATAACATGGAGCAGATTGCAAAGAAGACCATGAAGACAACTGTATGGGCGATGCTGCATGCCCTAATAGGGGCGACTGGGATTTTCTCAGGGTATGCCGAGATAATAGCCACAATAAAAATCAGAACAAAGCTGATGAACGCATTAAGAGCGAGGAGAACAAATGCGAGCTTGCCGAGGAGCTCCTGTGCGACCTCAAGACAATTCGCAGGATCAGCTATAACGCGAAGAGAAGAAAGCAGTTCTCGCAGTAAAGACATGATGGTAGTCAAACCCAGGACAGCAAAAATATCTATGCCCATCTTCATGGAAGCTCCGGGCTCCGTTAGATAAAGACCAAATGTCTTTCTGTGAGCTCCACGCGGGTACATCTTCATTCCTGCATGTACTACATCGTTGATACACACACCTTTGTCCCAATCTTGGTTAGATGATTGAAGAAGTGAGTTGTCACATGACAAACGTTGCGAAAGATATACTTGATCCCCTCATGTGAGAATACCTCTAGCAGTAGCCTTCGTCCACTGAACGGGTCATTGAACAGCGCATTGCTAGACAGTATAGTTCGAATCTGGTGTAGAAGACAGCAGTAAGCATGCAGTAGGAAGCATAAGCCCTGTCCATGATTGCCCCTGTGCTCATGATACATGAGTAGGTAATCCGTACCCGATGCGGAGTTGAACTGGTGATGAAGCTGCTCTTGTAGCGGGGCTCATAAGGACTTGTCAATACGAGCTTAAGATAACGGGCCAGCCTTTGAATAGATTGTGTGATAGATAACATCGAATTGTAGCACTAGGTGGCGGTGGCATGTCTAGTAGACAAAGGGAAGGCTACCGTACCACTATCTAGGTAGGGCTTCCCGATTTCCATGCCAGCAAGTTGTCGCAAACGAAGAGATCAGCAACATGAAGGCGAATACTTTTCACACCAGCTGGTTGCATGTGTCTGGTTGAGCAATGGATTTGACTCATTGTTTACTACGTGAGCACTGAAATTTCTGGGAGAAGATCCATTGCATCAGTTGATGCGATGGCGGACTAACCGCATTAGACCTGTACCTATTAATCCCCAAGCTAAGAGCCAACCAACCCTTGTGAGGAGAGGAGCATGATCAAAACGAGTCTTTGGCCTAGCAACCAGAAAGAATCCGACAAATACTATCGACTGCTTCTGGTTGTCACTCATGGAAGGTAATTTGGCGGTGACAGTCAAGCATATTCAGTCAGGGTCCACTTTTGTTGTGGTAAGGGGCTCCAACCCCACTGAGCCATTGCTCAAGCATCTGAATCCACTATATAAGTAAAGTTTAGCGCACTTTCTTTCAACAATCAGAGAACTCAATCGGGTTCTCAGGTTTCAATGGTCTGGTGGTCTAGTGGTATGATTCTCGCTTAGGGTCCACCCTAATCAATCCTGCGAGAGGCCCCGGGTTCAAATCCCGGCCAGACCCTTTAGTTTTGCATTTTTTTGCCATTTGTTTGTACTGAAATATCAGCGCAGAAGTTTGAGAAGGTTTCTCACTAGTAGCATTGATGGCAGTTTTCTTTTCAGACGAAAGTTTCAAGAGTAGGCGGGGCAGTACATGATAGGTAAGCGACATTATTTGTTCTCGTTGTTGATTTTTTATACCTAATGAATGAGGGATGCCGAATGAGATGATGATAATGATGATGATTCTGATTACGTCTATGAGGACAAATATCTATCTATCTACTTTAGTGTACCTGCTAGATGAATAAAAGAGGTTATCCTTTGTCAACGCTCTATGGCGTTTAAGGATAGCTAGAGTACATACAATAGCAGAGCTAGCGTTTCGCGTGACTCAGATGCCGAATCAGAGGGGGCCGGTAATAATATGGATGATGTACAGATGTACATTACCACAATATCAATCTACCACATCGCATTCAAGATAAACTCAATACTTATAATATTTATACATATTTAGATTTAATATTCGCTTCAGTATGTCTCTTTTCAATGACAAGTACATATCAAAATAGCCATGGAGATCTATTTAAACCGCCATGATAGACTAACGACGTAATCCTAATTATCTTCACATTGCTACATGGGGCACCGTAGCCCACGATTTATCATTCGGCTGCTACCGTATTTACGATTTCACCATTTTCAAAATATACGATTTCTCACCCGGCTCGCAGTTCACCTTTAGAGGCATCAATATATGCCTTTTCGGACACACGGCCTCTCTGGTTATACTCAGGATCGGTAGGCAGTGCTCTCATCTCATCGATACCGCGGACGTAGTATGTGAGAATTATATCACCTCCACCCATTTGCCAGCCGGGACGGACATGAGATAGTTCAGAGCTTAGAGCTACATGGAACGATGATGGAGTATACGTCTGAAAGTGATTATTGGATTAGTGCTTCAAACCTAATATTCATATACGCCATATAAGTAGGAGAACTCACTGCTGTATAACGGAGAACGTTGTGCTTCTTCACTAGAGCCACCCATTGGGGTGTCAACACTTCATGAAACCATTTCTCAAAGTCTCCATCGGAGACATGATCTTGTTTGTAGTGGTATGCCGAAATCTTGAGGACGTCTCTTGATGCCATAGTGGCATAAAATGAATGAAGTTTAAAAGTTCGAATCAGGATACAATATGAGAGAAATTCGGAAGCTCTCGTATGCGCCACGAGTGCAGAAAGTTGTAGGCTTCATTCCATATCCAACATGGCTAGAGTCAGGATATCCATGAATGCAAGGCAGCACATCAATCGCCGCTTCTGCACCAGGTGATAGCTTATGGTGCATCCCAGTCAGTCAGCAGAATAGTGTTGGTAGGCTTTCAACCAATAGGGTTCTGCCAAGATAGAGTGTTGGTAACGCAGTCTTGCTCTGAATGGAGTGGCTCAGCCCAACATACATCCGTACCGAGAACGAGAACGAGAACGAGAGGTCCTAATCCTATGACTTTGATTTATGAGAAAGCAAAGACTACTATGTTTGGTTCTACTGCAGACTTTCTGCTATGCCGATCGCTTGTGGTAGTTAACCAAGCATGAAGAACGAGACTGTGTTCATATTGAATGATAAACTAATTTCTGCCCTGGGTTGGTTTATCTGTGTTCCTTAAATGCCCCTATATACCGCTTCTCTGCAATTCATTATCTTGAACTTTGGATGGGGGAGACTTTAACAGTGCCTGTTAGTATGAGACTTCTTACTAGCTCATAGAACTCTACTGTATACCGACGGTCAGCTAGCATAGCTGGGCTGTTATAAATATGGTACAAAGTAATGGGGAACATAACGACTTGATTAGTGAGTGCAAGGTAAAGATATAGGAAGGTGGCAGAATCCCTTATGTATACATGTATAGGCGGCGGCCATACATTTGCCCCTATTACCCTCAGCCCTATAGGGCTTATGTTAACACCTGGAGGCGAAGAAATGAGTTTTCACGGACCTCAATCCTAACGGCCGTGTCCCTCTTAGATAAGCCCTGAACTTGAATATCCTTTTGTCGCATACCAATCTTCAATCATTGCCCCTACCACAATACAATATTAGAGGTATTTTACTAATGCTTGAGAGCCACCGATGATCCTAACACCGGACTCGTACATTGGTAGTCGGGGGCTATTCTTACGTATCTGATCGAGGAATGTGAAGAAAATACACCTTGCGTAGTGACTGATGATGAATTAAAGATAATCTGCCGCTAGGTCTCATACTATCCAACAATATTGGTATAAGGTATGAATAAGGCTGGATGCGGGCCCACATATGGCAGCCGCCTGTATATGTAAATTGTCACTGCGTGAGGATATAACTCCAAGTGGTTCTTTCAGCAACCTTTCTAGGTAAAGGAGATGGTTATATTGGTTGTTGAATTTAGCCAAGGACTGGTTAAGTACAAGGCATGTAGTAGCATTGTGTATATAACAGGCCATCTGCCACTCAAGTCAATCTAAGTATTAAGCCTGTATTTCAACATGAGTGATGCCAATTTAAGTTTGTCTTCCCAACTCCTATTAAGGGACGAGATAAAACTGTTCTGAGATCCTCTTGCATGTGCTATTTCATACCAGTTCACATCACTGCAAAATTATGAGCAAAACGGGTTTCTTTAGGCATTTGTATATGTATTGTAATCTACAGTGATCTGTGTGCTGCTTCACCGTTGTCCACATGATGATTGTCACTGCACAGGGCCTGTGGGGTGCTGTAAGGTCCCTGTAGCTCCCTCTAGCTGCTACACACCCCACTATGCCCCTCACACGTGACCTGTTGAACCACAGGCTTAGTCAGCTAGATTAGATAAGCAGGTGAGGAGGTTTTCTCAGGTCAGAGCTGTCACACAACCATTTGGCTGACCTTTTGCTCCTCACCTTATTACTTTACAGTAATACACACCTATTCCCCAGCACGCGCCACCTCCTTCCTTGAGCCGTCACAATGATTACCTTGACTTAGGTACCTGAGTGCGGCGACTTCTTCCGCTGCTCCACCTTCTGCTCCAGCTCACTGAGCGCTTGACTGTCCAACTTCCGTCTTTGTTCGTATTGGAAATAGAGACCTTTTGACAGCATATACTGACGATCGTCTTTCCCAATCCAAGGTTTATTCCTGTTCTGGCAACTGAACGCAACGTACTGTAATACTTGCTCCGGCTTCTGCTGCAGGCCCACGCTCAGGCCAAGGGTATTTCTAGGCCTAGAGGGATTGGGAGATGGGCAGTCGTAGTCGAGGAATGCTCCGCCATGAAGAGAGTTTGGCTGAATCACTTGTCTTCGGTGTCGCGGTCCGAGTGCAGCACCGGTCGTGTGCTCCCAATTTCCGTAGCCCATTTTGAAGACCCCGAGACTAGGCATACTTGCGCTCCATTGAGAAAGTACGTGATGCCATCGTAGGTCGAAGGTGTACGGATATTCTTTATAGCGCGGGGGATACTCAGCTGAAACTAGTCAGTGATCTTACTATGTAGGTGACTTGATACATAGTAGGTGCTATGGCTGTTGACTTACAATATCGATAGACAGGGTATTTCTCATTGGAAATGTGAAACTCTTGCCCGTCTGGTGCCGTGTATGTGATGTCTCCTTCGCTTAGAGGGCCATCGACAATTGCTTCCCACATGATGGGGCAGTCATCCAGATATAACTCGCGTAGACCGCCTCGGCCGTTATCGGAACCAAGTGAGGCGATCCAATCGACCTGCCATTGGTGGCTGAATACATACTTACCCAATGCCAGAACTCGGAGACTCGGGAAACCTGACTTGATATCTTTTCCGGGATTAACAGTCCGGAAGTCTGTATACCAAAGTGTCAGTATTTTTACACCCAGAGTTCTAGAGATGAGGTGAGTCATGAGACTAAATCGTGTAAACTCATGGCTTCCGGGAAACCCGGGAAAGGGGAAAGTCTGTTGTTCAGAACGTAGGTACAAGGGCATGTAGCATTGACTTATACATACCCATTTTTGGATTCCAGCCCCAGTAATCGTGCGCGAATAGAGACAAGACTTGGAGATGCTGGGCCATCGAAGGGCGAAACCAGGTTCTCGGTAGATGTTCAAAGAAATCGGTCTCGGTATTTTCCGACGGATGATAATCCATCGACGTCCGTATCTGGTCGCTCAAGACGAGCATCTTTAGTTCTCGAATGCTCTTGGACTCGATGACGCGCTTGAACTCTTTCGAGGAAACGAGGCGGGGGTCATTATTTTCGGCGACATTGAATATTGTCAGGGCTCTGAGGTGGATCGGCTCCTGTTCAATCTCGGCTAGTGGAATAGACTGGAACGCTGCAAGAGTATCGGGTATATAATGCAACTTTAAGTTTTTCTGGAGGTCGTGCTGCCATGTCGGGCTCCAATTCCCTGCCAGGTACTTGAACACAACAGCCAATATAAAATACACATCGTCCTCATATCCTGGCTTTTGCCGATACATATTATTTCCTCTGCTAGTAGCCATGGGCCAGGAAGGCTGGTCCTTAAATCTGATGTTGATTTTATTCAGATTTCTGAAGAGAACCAGGTGAGCCAAAGCAAGGGAGAAGTAGAAGTCCCTGCTCCGACTCTGTCGACTGATAGTTATCTCCTTGACTAGAGGCCGGAGGTGGGGAGATTTTGCAATGCGAATGACTCGAGTTGTGTAGCTAACATCCCTTATGGAAATATGGCGAAATGCAGCAGAAGCTGCGCAATCACCAACATATCTGTTCACACGCCGAGCTGCTAGAGCTGACTGATGGGGGAGGTATGTGAATATATCGATGAGAATCTCGGCGGGAAGTTGCTCCATTGCGACGGTCGGGTGTTTCGATTGGTTCTTGAAATATCTGAGTCGGACGTGGTGAATACGCCGTTGAGAATATGACGTTGAGAGTGCAGAGTCAAGACCAGGTGGGCTGCTTTCCTCTTGCAAAGGCAAGAAAAAGTAAAAGGAACCAGATGAAGGGTGCGGA